TCTTGGCACACCGTGCTGGACATTATCCCACAACAGCATCATTAGTGAGTCCCTCTGAGCCCTGCAGCATATGCTCCCTGGAGGATGAGCAGCTCTGATGGATCAGTTTCCATTACATCTCTATGTCAGAACAATTTTTAGGAGCCATTGCAAAGTATCTATTGCCAGAACAGCCTTGTAAATGTGGGGTCACCTTCCAGAGCCAGTCCTCAGGTGCTCAGTGCCCCTGCAAGGAATTCTACTGAGGGGGAAAATACCTGTGATCAAAGCGTGATCCCTCTTTAGCTTCTCACTTTCTCTTCTCAGGCTTCTCATTTCCAGGTCTCTTTCCTGAAGGGAATGGCTAAAAACTTCACTCGAGCCCTTCTGCAGGCTGCTGATCTAAAACAGAGGACAATGCACACCCTTCACCAGGAATCTTTTAGCTCCAGTGACCCTTCTTTTGCTTTAAGCCCAAAGGCAGTTCTTCCTAAGCCCCACAAAGAGCTCCCTGCTATCTGAAAGGCTTCAGCTTGCCATGAACCCCCTCCCAGTCTCAGTTCTCACACAGAACAGCATGGTTGACCTGATGGCATTAAAGGAGAAACCCCTCTGGCTACAATAACCCCTCCTATAGGACACCTGTGCCCATTTGGCCATTGCATACCTGCTCCTTTAAGGCTTTGATCTCTTCTGTTTTGGCCCTGATTTCTCTCTCAAAGGTTAGAAGCCTCTGGGTCAGCTCCACATCATTTCTCACAGCAACCATGCTCTTGGCCATCGATGCCAGCTCCCCCTGAAGGTCCCTGATCACCGTATCCTTCTGCTTTGATTCTGCTTCAAAAGCAGAGAGGCGGCTGATTTCCTTTTCCAGGCTCAGCAGCTTTTCATCCTGCAGGTAGATTCCATCTGTTGGTCAGCAGATCTACGATTCTATGACTTTGCACACTGTCACCATGTTCCTCCCCCCAGCAGAACGATGGGGTGCACCCCTTGCCCTCTCCAAAGCATCACCTTTTCCTGCAGGGAGCAATCCGTGCTATGAATCCCCAGGAAAGGGTCTCCCATCCCACTGCTGCTTGAGTTGGTGCTCCAGGCTGAAAGAAAGCAGAGAAAGTAGCAGAAAACCTGCAGGATGGGGGCTCATCGCATCTCCCTCCCTTGTCTAAAAACCATTCCAGGGCAGCAGTCAATTCTTAGTTCACACTCTGAGCAAAACCCACTCATCTGGCACTAAAAAGATCGTTATCAATAGAGCCTACACAAGAGAAAGGAGTCATGCACTTCTGGGGAACTTAAAAACCCAAAGACACATACAGACACAGTGGATGAAGGCTCCTTTGGTTTTTCAACACCAGTTTCAAAACCAGTTGGGTTTTTTTGGCCAACCCCAAAGAAAGATGCTCTACGTTCACTGCTTACAGCACAGGAAGAGTTAAAAGATCAACACACACTGATTACCTTGGCTCTATTTCACAAATCAAACGATGTGATCAAACCTGGGTGTGCGTGCTATAACACATTCTCTATAGAACTCCTGTAAGGTCTCTCTACTCTGCCCAGGATCCTATTTTCAGTTGGATGCCAAAGGCCTGCATTGCTGGGAGCTTCACTCCCATTACAGTCTATGGGATACCACGTTATGCACATGGCTTTATGGCTCTGGGTCTGCACAGCAATGTTCTTTGCTCTGGAGTATTATTTTGGTTGTTTATTAATGACTTTGTCTTGCTACTGGCTGTTAATAACAGCAAAACCCCCCATAAACTATTGAAATATAGCTTGACCTTGGGGTGGTTCGATTGGATATTAGGAAAACTTCTCTGAAAGAGTGGTTGGGCATTGGCACAGCTGCCCAGGGAGGTGTTGGGATCACTGACTCTGGATGTGTTCAGTCTGGAGATGTGGAACGTGGTTGGTGGGCAGCACTGGTGGTTGGCGGATGACTGGACTGGATCATCATAGAGGTCTATTCCAACCTGATTCTGTGATCCTATGATTCTATCAGGAGTTGGGCTCTGTGACCCGTCCAACTTGGGATATTCAATGAAACCATACAAATCACGGTGTAATTTGCTATTACCAACCCTCAGAGCCAAAGCCTTTTCCCATCCTTCTACTGTTCCACCAGTTCATCCCCACGAGCCTTCACCTTTGCTCCACCACTGCACGCTCCACCTTTAAGAAACACATCAGATATGGATCTCTTTTACGTTCCTTTACTCAAGGCAGCCTGTAACTGCACAGCCAAGGAACCAACCCACTGCTTCAGTCAGGAGACCAGAATAGGTGCATGAGTCAGCGACGGAGATAAAGCGATCGCTGCTCAACATCGCTGCACACGAGGAACAAGGAAGAGGAAATGTCACCCTAAGTTACCCAGGCAATGGCATTTCCCAGTGTTTTTTCACAGCACCTTTCTCAACCAACCCAGATGCCACTGCTGGCACGCAGGGTTCAATTAACTTTGCTTGGTAAGGAATCACAACTAACTGGCTGTGATGCTCATCATTTACTATTGCGCATTAAAACCGCCTCTGCTCAGATCAGCCCTGTTTGATGCTGAGAACCACCAGTCCCTTTACTGTCACAGCAAAATCTTTCCTGCGGCCATGTGGAAGTACCTGGCCTCTCTGCAGGCGGCTGGTTGAGTGCATCCATTGGGATGGTTATGGTTGCACTCCGGGTCCACGCACTTATGGGTCGTTTGCGGAGTGGTGGATGGGGTGTGGGGCCAAGCCAGGTGCTGGAGCGATGCTGGGATTGCAGCGAGGGGAGGTGGGCACTGTGCTGGGGCTCTGCAGCTTCCTGTCCAGCCCATGGTGTGCAACGCTGTGCCAATGGGTAGGAGGGTTTCTGTTGGGGAACAGGAATGTGTTGTTAGTAAGGGGATAAGAGTTTTCCAGCCCTTTTTCTGCAACGTGAGCAGTTTAGTGGGAAAGGTAGAGAGCGCCAGCCTGCTTTACATGCTGTTATACATTCAGAGCTTGGGATTTATTTTTCATAATGGAGGACTTAGCTCTTGTGGCTGGGTGCTCCTCTTCTTTAGAGCGTGTTCATCCTTAATACCACTGAAAATGAGAGAGAGGCCTCCCTACATTAAACACTGTAAACACTTCACACAGAGAAATGGAGAAGTGATTTACTCTCTGCAGTCAGCGGTGTCAGGCTTCAAAGCTATTATATCAAAGGAGGATCATCAAGCCCAGAGCAATAAAGAGGCACTGACAATGCTTTTTCTGTGCCACTGTGCATAACTGCATTTTTGTGTGCAGGCTGCATGTCTGCTTTTGGAAATCAAAGTGCTGGGTGTTCCAGCTGGAACAAACTTCACCTGCACAGCCTTAGCCTGCCAGGTGAATGGATTCATCCTGCAAAAATGCATTTTCTCCTCTTGGGCTGAGCATTCTGGGCACGTCCGTGGGGTCATCTACCAACACAAAGAACCTTGTTGAGTCATCCAAAAGCAGCATCTGAGTACACAGACTGCCATTCATTCACCTTGATCCCAGGCTGGCCTGCCAGGCACGCAGGTTTCCAGCAGCATTCTCAATTTCTGTTTTCTTTGGATTCCTCAAGAGCCACCACAGTAAAAATAAATGTGATTGTGTCGATTTTAAGTACTCTTATAGCCCACATGTACTAGTGACATCCTGAGATGGCCTTATTCCTGGGGATGGAAGACTTCTACTAGATTTGACCCCGTATTTACAATTGCTTTGGATTTCTGTTGTGCCCACAGGTCAAGCTGTGATGCTCTGGCCTTGCTGTGCAGAACAGAGCCTGCAGTTGTGCACGGCACTTCCAAGAAAAGCACCAATAATGTATTTGCTCATTAATTTGCTCTCACTTGGACCTTTAATGCTAGCACCTAAGGAAAGACTCGATGGATAATTCAGTTGAAAGAGACTTAAAGCTCATTTCCCAGTGCTTTCACATCTTCCCAAGACTTATCTCCACAAGTTCTGGTGGGCTTGCCATCAGAAATCTGCTCCACGCCTCCTTCACCCTACTGAGTTGCCTGAATTTCTTCAGCAGAGGGAGCTCCAGCTTTTTATTTCTTGATGATTTAAGAATAAAAGCCTGAGAGCGTGACACCCCACTTGGTATCACACAAAACCACACGCTCATTTCAGAGCCTTCCTTACCTGGGGGACTCCATCCACCACCAGCTCAAAGGATGCTCCCTGAGCCCC